CAACGAAATGTTGCCACTTGAGGCACTTGTGATTACTTGTCATTGAATTTATTTTGGGAAAGTGGAAAATATCATAAGATCTTTGCTAATATCAATATACTTCTTGATTATTGTGATGAACTGATATGTTCAAGGCTGCATAACTCCTTGTTGAACATGAAGGCGAAGTAGCAAGTTCAATACCTATACTTCTGACGTCTATCTATACCTACCACATAAGATTGACTCGAGGATTCTCGAAATAGTTTAGGGATACCGTCAAACCAAATTCAGGGCGATATTTGATGCCTAACTCAAAATCGACATTATATCTTTACCCTCGCTTTCAGTTTATGTTGTTGAAAACACTGTCCCAGAATTTCCAAATGCTGGAATTACATAGTCTCCGCATGATAAATTGTTCTTTCATTCACACAGAATTGATTCTGAAAGCTCTACGAGAAGTTTGAATGAGAGCTGTCTTAGGAAACAACCATTCGATTCGAGATGTTCAAATAGGAACAGTCTTAGGAAAAACCATTCGATTTGAGGTATAAATGTATGTAATCTATGAGTAATTTGTGGTATCTTCAATGAAATACTCTCCCTTTATTTGTCAGCTTGATGAAATCACCCTCTTCAGGTTCCAGCACAATGAAAATGAAATGAAACAAAGTTATCGAAATGTGAATTATATGAACAGTTGAATGACGAGTCTTACATAAGTTAATATCACCATATAACCATTCAGTCTACAGTTGAACAGTCAATTTACGTAGAGCCACTATCTAAAAATGAAATACTGATATCGATAGCCAATCTGAAACTCTGCACCAGGATGAGACAAAATCACTACAAGGACATTGAAAACCATCCATACTGATATCCTAAATCTGCTTGATCAACCAATGTTCTCCGATTGATGAAGCTGGAAGTAAATCTCAAATAGGTAATGACAGGCTCATCTCAGTGATGAACAACTTTGCCAAAATCTTTGAACAGCACATTGAAAACCGCTTATAGAATTTTCTGACAAACACCATGTCCAACATTGACCGATAGGCAGTTCGGATTTGTGAAAAATTCTAATACCGAAAATGCCATGATGTACCTTGTTGATACTGTGAGGGATATGACCATTTCAACGAAATGTTCAGCAGTTTCTTTAGACTTGGTCAAAGCCTCCGATACGGTTGATCACGATATATTGATGAAAAACTAAATAATTAAGACATTCGAGGAATTGCATTGAAACTAACTACCTCTTTAATTTGATCTCGTTGAATTCTATCAGATAAGTTGGTCATTAGTTGATAATATGAGCAAGCAGATTTAGGATATCAGTATGGATGGTTTTTGGCTATCGATATCAGTATTTCATTTTTAGATAGTGGCTCTACGTAAATTGACTGTTCAACTGTAGACTGAATGGTTATATGGTGATATTAACTTATGTAAGACTCGTCATTCAACTGTTCATATAATTCACATTTCGATAACTTTGTTTCATTTCATTTTCCTGAAGAGGGTGATTTCATCAAGCTGACAAATAAAGGGAGAGTATTTCATTGAAGATACCACAAATTACTCATAGATTACATACATTTATACCTCAAATCGAATGGTTTTTCCTAAGACTGTTCCTATTTGAACATCTCGAATCGAATGGTTGTTTCCTAAGACAGCTCTCATTCAAACTTCTCGTAGAGCTTTCAGAATCAATTCTGTGTGAATGAAAGAACAATTTATCATGCGGAGACTATGTAATTCCAGCATTTGGAAATTCTGGGACAGTGTTTTCAACAACATAAACTGAAAGCGAGGGTAAAGATATAATGTCGATTTTGAGTAAGGCATCAAATCTCGCCCTGAATTTGGTTTGACGGTATCCCTAAACTATTTCGAGAATCCTCGAGTCAATCTTATGTGGTAGGTATAGATAGACGTCAGAAGTATAGGTATTGAATTTGCTACTTCGCCTTCATGTTCAACAAGGAGTTATGCAGCCTTGAACATATCAGTTCATCACAATAAATCGAATGGTTGTTTCCTAAGACAGCTCTCATTCAAACTTCTCGTAGAGCTTTCAGAATCAATTCTGTGTGAATGAAAGAACAATTTATCATGCGGAGACTATGTAATTCCAGCATTTGGAAATTCTGGGTCAGTGTTTTCAACAACATAAACTGAAAGCGAGGGTAAAGATATAATGTCGATTTTGAGTTAGGCATCAAATCTCGCCCTGAATTTGGTTTGACGGTATCCCTAAACTATTTCGAGAATCCTCGAGTCAATCTTATGTGGTAGGTATAGATAGACGTCAGAAGTATAGGTATTGAACTTGCTACTTCGCCTTCATGTTCAACAAGGAGTTATGCAGCCTTGAACATATCAGTTCATCACAATAATCAAGAAGTATATTGATATTAGCAAAGATCTTATGATATTTTCCACTTTCCCAAAATAAATTCAATGACAAGTAATCACAAGTGCCTCAAGTGGCAACATTTCGTTGTTTGTGAACAAACCGATGGAGATGCGAGACGTACGTCTCAGATTTTCCTCCTCTCCTATATCGTCGTACATACACGTGAGTGTGCGATTATTATAATTTGACTCATATTTCAATGCCCTCGGTTTGTTCAGAAATTTGGTATATGAAGTCATAGGATCGAGCGTTTTGATCGTAAGATGTAAAGATTATGAGTTTTGTGGTAAGCAGATAACTATTCATTATGGTAGTGAATGATAAACACATTTCTCCTCCTTCTCAGACCTTTGCGCTTAACGCTCTCTCTCTCTATCTCTCTCTCTCCCCCCCTCTCTCTTTATCTCTCTTCGGCTCACCTCTCAATCTCATCCATTGGTGAATGAATTAGATGTATCAACTCAATAATGGAAGTAGCAGTCTTTGTTACGATGCAAATCCACCTCCTATTTCCCCCTCTCCTTCTCTCCATATTTGTGCATCGACTTATTCCTTTCTCAAAAACTAAGATCAGACATTCGAGATGCAAAAGAAGTGAGCCGCATATATAATCACATATCAACCAAATTTCCTATTGAAATTCTATAGTCATCTTCAGGGTTCCCGAAAATTCATATAAGTAATGAAACTTTCTTTCATCTTATCTTCGAGACACACCACCGGTGTTCATTATAATTTCGGCACGGATTTACACGCCTCTATTACTTACAGCGATACTGCTGATGCATGCTTTGTTCGTTCGACGTATTGGATACGCATTCTAGTTGAGAGATATAACTAGAGATTATGAGTTCTGTGGTGCTCACCCCAAAAAAAAAAGTTCTAATGAGTTTAAGTATTGAAAAGCTGTGAATGGATGTTTTTATTCATCGGTTTGGATATGTAAGTTTGAGCTTAGAGGTGTTTTGTCAAGATATGGTTGAAGCTGAATTGAAATAATTTTCATTGTATGTCTCCATTGCTGAGGGTACATAATATCCGGCCGATTGGAATGGTTGTTATTTGCTAACGATCGATGAAATGCCCCCCACGACCATCAAATTTGTGCTGGTTTTCCATATAATCACATTATAATTTATTGGTAGAATCAATCCATCTATTTTTTGTATCATCAAATCCCAAAACACATCATCACCCTCAAATAGTTCCAACTTGTTCATAATATATCTGAGAATATTCCTCTGCTTCCGGTGAGTGGCATCATTCGTATCTCATCGGCGGTCAATTTCGACTATTTTAACACCCCCCTCTCCGTCTCATTTCGGAAAATTCTGGTGTGCCGAAGGAGTCCAAAGATGTTTCAATGTTCAGTTTGTGGGTACGCATTCAAATGGCTTAAGAGTGTGAATCGTCATATGAACAAACATAACGAAAAAACTTCAATTGTGAAATTTGTACTAAAAGACATTCACAAGAGTATACAACATGAAGAAACATATAGTTAAAGAGCAGAAAGAAAAAGATTCGAAGGCTGTTGAGATTTATCGAAAATCAATTCGAAGCGAGTCGAACACATGTGCTGAGGTTGAACATGAACGCCCAGGAAACATTGATCAGATAATCATGGGGCAAGCAGAGGAGAAACTGATCAGTTATGAAGCACTGTCTGGAAACAATGAATCGGAAGTTCAGTCAAGATTAGATGTTGAAAATTTGTCTAATATGCAAACTAACAACTACTCTTCAAGCCCCGATAGAACCACTCAGTATTTATCAAGATCCGAAGACAACAACAGTGCCTATGGTGGCGATAACTATGTTGACAGTGCTTTCAATGATGTAAGTGATGTCGGTTACAACTGTTATAACGACAATGATTCAATAGTTGTTCATGGTGATATGGTGAACCCCAAAAAGTTGGTGCAAAGATTGCGGCAAATAGGGTACTTACGCACATCATACTACAATACCGAGATTCTTTCAATCATAGACATTCTACGAAGAGAAGGAATAATTGCAGGTTCCAGAAAACAAGATGGAATTATATTGACCCGTAGATTCCATAGAGGTCATCTTGTATTTTAGTTGATAGATATTAAAAACCGTCTTTATCCCATTTATCCCATTCCATTAGATTCCTAGTGCAGGTACCAGATCATTAGAGTGTAAAAGTTGAAATTATGATGAACCTATCAAAAAAACTTATATATATTCAAATAAAACCCTCAGATTCGATCCTCGAAATAGTTGTCGTCAACATGATATTATGTTTTTCTACATGGATACAGAGCAAATTTGTTTTCAACGGAGCTCTTCAAAATAGTCAAAGTAGAAATATGTTCGGTCTGATTAAATATTTGCTCGAAGGTTTTGACGGTGATCCATTCAAAGGTTGACTTTATGAGTTGCGTCTATTGAAAACGGATTTTCCCGACGTGTACCTAGTTGTGGGATTGGGATTTGTGTTTGTTGATGACTGTTTTTCAGAAAGCACTTCCTAGTCTTGGTTTCTTATGATTTCAGATGTCTTCACCTGGTTCCAGGCTGGTTCTGACTGGTTCCAGGGTGGTTCCAGGGTGGTTCCAGGGGGGTTTCAGGGGGGTTCCAGGGCGGTTCTGACTGGTTCCATGGTGGTTTCGACTGGTTCTAGGGTGGTTCCGACTGGTTCCATGGTGATTCCGACTGGTTCTAGGAAGGTTCCTACTGGTTCCAGGGTGGTTCCGACTGGTTCCAGGGTGATTCCGACTGGTTCCAGGGTGGTTCCGACTGGTTCCAGGGTGGTTCCGACTGGTTCCAGGGTGGTTCCAACTGGTTCCAGGGTGGTTCCGACTGGTTCCAGGGTGGTTCCAACTGGTTCCAGGGTGGTTCCGACTGGTTCCAAGGTGGTTCCGACTCGTTCCAGGATGGTTCCGACTGGTTCCAGGGTGGTTCCGACTGGTTCCAGGGTGGTTCCGACTGGTTCCAGGGTTGTTCCGACTGATTCCAGGGTTGTTCAGACCGATTCCAGGGTGGTTCCAAGTTAGTTCGTGGCGGTATTCAATGGATAAAGCATCTAATTCCAACCTTCAATGCTTCTGTAGATGTCGGCGATGTCCAATCAGCTATAATATTCAAATTGATCTGGAAAAATTGTCAACAGATAGTTCGATTCAGAAACCACTTCTTGGTCGCAATTCCTCATGGTTCCTGTAACGATTCCTCAGAGTATATAGGTGTTGCAAAATTCGAGTGACAACCCTTCACAGGTGTTAGTCATCGTGACTTGATAACGACTCAAGTAGGGATATATCTCCGTAACAATACCAGAGTCTATGCATTAGTTCTTCATGATGCATATCTGACCTATGAAGAGCACTTTGTATGTGTCGATTCTAACAAGAACTCCTCGGAATATATCATACCTATTTACTTGCTCTGTAATGATAATTACGTACCTACTTATAGTAATAATAAAATTATTCATGCATGAATATCATCTATCCAATATTATCAGTGTATAGGTTACTGATTGCATTAAAAGATATACAATTCGCTGAATATTTGCATCTATTACTTTATCTACAGCTCTATCAGCAAATCAATATTTATTTTTATACATCGTTCCATCAACATCTTCTTCCACTATTTCGTTGTAAACGACTTACTTAGAATAATAAAATAGCATATGATTATATCGAACATTTATTGAGAAAATTAACTACCTAATATAGCGATACAGTATAGGCCGTATATAATTACATTAAGAGAGACATATTTGATTACTAAGTTCTGATATCCCCGACTTCGTCTAAACCTCTGTCACCCTCGCCATCATCAGCATCATCTTCTCCCTCAGATTCTCGATGTAGGTTATATTTGCTTATATGCTGCCAGGAAGGATATCGAATATTTCATACAAGAACCCTTCCAATTCAGCTTCCACCATATCTTGACAAAACGCATCTAAGCTCAAACTTCCATATCCAAACCGAAATTCTATATTGATCAGCTAGATCGGAGAGTCTTCGAATCTCCACGGGATCAAAACACACGTTCATATCATAATTAGTTGCATGTAAAGCATCCATTTCTAGAACGCGGAATTCACATGAAAGCCTTCTTATTCCAGAATCGATATCTTCTGCTTTATCCCATCCCTGGCTTGAAAAGTGCATCCACATTGTGTTCAGGGGAGGCTTGGAAGTCTGGTATCTGAAACAAATATACGACATTAACATACACTTCTTATATGGTAGGTTAACTTCATACTTACAATAATAATGATTATTAAATAGTCAGAGATTACTAGTATGTGATATGTAAGTAACTATTTCTAAATATTTTTCATCTACCCTTTCGTATAACTATACTTATTTAATATATCTGAGATATTGAGGAGATTATTATCGTCTATCGAATCTTATTAGAGACCTCGATTTTGCCCCTGCATATGCTGGTTTATTCTTACCTGTGTATGGCAGGTTATATCCCCCGTTGGCTGAATTCATAGCTTCAATATCACCTTCGCTCAAATCATCTGAGACAAGTTTTGGAAGCCAACATTTGAAAGTAGCGCCGTCACGTTCATCGCATGATAATGTATGACCCCTCTTCCGAATCTAGTTACGCAACAACATATTCTTTCAATTACGTAGGGATGCCCCACGATCAGAGTTGAAATCGATATTTGTTGAATGATATCAGCATCGCGATCGATCATCTTATTGATGGATTCTATATCAATTCCACGTACTTCAGACGTATTTCTTCAAATTATCGTAAACTGCACAGCGAAAGAGAGGTATGATAAATATATAAAAACATTTCAACTTACACAGCACACTTCACTTTCTCACGAGAAACTTGTTCAACATTATTTTAATACTTATATTTTCACCAAACGAGTCGCTTCTATTTTGTGTTCTCAAATCTACGATCCATCTGGTTATATTGTAGAGAAATGTGGTGAATGGAATATCATAGACAAGAAAAGATTCTATGACAACGACCTTGAACAAGTATGTTCATACACACAGACTTTCAAGGCCGCAACCAATGCCACATGATATCCAAGGCGACAAATAATTGATTTCATATTCATATATCAGCTTGTTGAGCCAGCTATTGTAAGCGGTTAATGTAATTTCAATCATAGACTTGATTTGCTATTCGTAAGAATGCCAAAAAAATGTTGAAAGTAACTTTCCTACAGCGGAAACAGTAAGAATTCAATAGCGGGTCAAGAGTGTGAAGGTAGACAAAACGTTGCGTATAGTAAATAGCATATCCAAGCGTATTGATTAGGAAGGTAAAATTGTATGCATCGTCCTACGTAGGTACGTACTAGAAACAGAGGTCCAAAAAAGAAGCGGTGCGGTGAATGCCATAAACATTCGTAGGTATAAGATACATTCCAGCATTCATCGAACCGAAAGAAACTTTTAACAACAACGTCCTTGAACAGCAACTGGTGTTTGAACATCGAAAGCGGTACGTACTACGGTGAATACCATGCGATGCCCGCTTCGTCGCACCCCCAAGACCACTCACGGTCCGGGTCGATACAAACGGCCTAACAGCTGTCTCCAGAGCCCTTCGAAGGCCGTGTCGTCACACGCACAAGACCACCCACGTCCAAGGTCGCTGACGTCATTGCGGTGGCGGGCGGCGGCGTGCTGTCACATAAACTCCCTACTTAGGCTCAGTAATTTTCATTAATAACTTTTGATTTTTGATTTTCAGAATTCGGATTCAATTCCGAAAAATTCTTTGCAATCACTCATAATCTTGGAGTTTTTTTTCGAAATATTGACTAGCGAGTTCTCAGTATTCCTTTAGTATTAATATATTTTCAGAATTCAAGATAAGATTTTTTTGTTTGGGCAATGAATTAGTGCCTTTAAGAATAATTTTTCCAGCTCGTAGGGAAAAGGGTCGTAGTATTACATATTTGCTTACAAATTTTACTAGTTTATATTATGTTGAGATAACATTTTAGTGAATGCTTTATTCAAAAAAAAAACATTTTTTTTTCTTCGTTTAGGGCACAACACATAGGTGACATTAGGTTTTAATAACGATCTATAATATAATCGTACATTTGAAAATCATTTCAGGTGTTTTTTCAATATTTTTTTTTGCTTACTGAATTTCCTACAAAAAGTGCTTCCAATTCTAATTATTAAACTACATACTTCATTTTGAATCATACCTACTTTTTAATACAAATACTTATTGGCTATTTTGATGGTAAAACATATAGGTATCTTCAGCTTTGTTTAATAAATACACAGGATGATAATTATGCATGATACCTACTCGACTCTTAATTTGATTCAACAACATTTTCAGAGATCTTCAGTTAGGTAAAAGTAGATATTTTTTATTCATCTATCAAGAACAAAATCGAAGACAATATTGATTGAAACATTATAGGTTTTTTTTTCTACGATTCAATGAATAAGTGCAAGTCCATAGCGTAATGCCCTCAGTAGGCATACCTCTACTTGCGAAATTCAACTTTGCTGACAACAGTTTTGCTTTCCATGAGTTCATAGACCTTGCTTACTTTCAACTAAATAGAAAAATAACAGGCGCTCATTTCTATCATGTGTGTAGTATTTAATAAAGATATTAGATCTGGGATTTAATAATGACATCTCGATGAGCATATAGGTAGTTTATTTGAACATTTATATTCATGCATACTTTCCTAGAGAGTTCAATGATTTTTTCAGACTGCTATATATAATGGTTAGCCACCAGTCACTAAGACTATATAAGAATAATTTTGAGTTCGTAATTTCGATAAGTAGGCATGTACTCAAATATTGAATAATATTTAGCTATCAACTTTCTTTTCTTGAGAATTAATCATTATCACAAAGTGTTAATGAATACACAGGTTATTCAGTTGAGAAATTAGTGAATGAAACATTGATATAAACTTGAGATTGAAATTTTTGAATGGTTTTTCAGTTTTTCTAAGTGTCTAATGCATTTTTCAGGTATATTAGTTGCATTTCTGCTCTTGTGTATATCTGATATATATATTTTTTGAAACATTTCGTACTACCAGAATATAACAAATGATATGCTCTCATTTTTATCGGGTTATTTGAGCTAGCTAGTTCTATTATCACGTGTGCTTGGCTACTAGACAAATAATTCAATAAATATTCGAAATTCCGTGAAGTTGAATATTGTTGATAGAATTGAAGAATTGTATTGATTATATATTGAGAGTTTCCCCACATAGACGGGTAACTACACAGGCAGACGTGGCAGATGACCTAAAGTATAGGTTGAACGTCCACCCGTGTAGGTTTGTCTATTAATGAGTTGATAATGATGAATAATGAGTATAATTAGTTGATTATACTTTTGAAGAAGCGCGGTATATCAGAGATTGGTCGTGGAAGAATATCCTGATGACTGGATTGAACGACTGCCTCTGATTTGCGTTTTATTATGATGATATGAGATGAGATGATATGATATGAGATGATATATAATTTTTTGAGATGAATATGATATATATGTTTATGAGATGAATATGATTGATATTGAAGCATTGCGGTTTTTGTAGGAATGATCTGATGAAATCAGGTCCTATGAGATATTTGGGAAAAGTTGATATATGAGGAATACAGACAGATGAAAAAGTAATGAGCATGTTGTTTTTTATTGAAGAGTGATAAGTAGAGATTTTTTTCTGGTGTACGTATTTTGGTAGTATTGTTGATATGAATTTTTTTCCTGATTCTATAACGAACAAAACATTTTCAAGAGCAGAAAGTTTCATAAAAGTTATTTATACATATATATCAAATGAAAAATAAAAACCGAAGTTGATAATTCAGTGTGAATGATGAGATAATTTGTGCATGTGATGAATGGTTCAGGTAGTTAGAGGAAAAATAGAGGATTCGAAAAGTAGAATATTAAAAATAATAATTATACTTAGTTCAGCGCTGAAAGGCCTATTTTTCGAATTGCCTATGGATGATAGAATATCGGATTGAATGAGGTATGAAATGTCAAAAGAATGATAATATGAAGAATGAATGAATAGGAATCTTTGAAAAACTGAATGAAACAAAAATGTGCAAGTTATTTTGTGAAAGAAAACAAGATTTAGAAAATTTCAATTTGTATATTGAAGATCCGCATTAATAATGAGTTTTGTGATAACTAACATCTGAATAACCTGTAAAATAATAAAATAAGCCATGAACAAAATCACAGAAGGAGTATTTTTCGCGAGGCACTAGCTAGGATTTGCTCACAATTCGGCATGCCAAAACCGAATTGCTTCTATATGGAATTTTTTCCGTATAAGGCATTTCTGTTGGTGTATTTCAGTTCGGAATGCTAAAACCAACTGAACTCGGATTAACACAATTTCTGTATTGAGTTCAATTCTCCAAAATTAACATATTTTTCTTCTTTCACACATTCAGTATACTTATCTGTTGTAGGAAAAATAAATAAAAGTACCAATTATTTCAAAATGAAACTAAGAGATTTTTATTGTTTGATAATACTAATAATATTTTCCAAGAGGTGCCTAACTATAGCCAAATCAGAATCGAGTAGTCCACTTATATGAAAATGCCGTAACTAGTAGGAGGTGTATGTACATTCAGAATCAATAAATTCATAAATTACAATGAAAATTATTGGCAATCATTGACAATGCATCATGCACTTTGCATGAGTATGGGAATTTTGATTCGAGAGCGACGCAATTTTGAGAAATGAAAAATTAACTAGTTACTGAATAATTAAGTGAAAAAATAATGGAGAATTTTTTCTCTCTCCAAATATTGAACATTTTGTTAATATGGACATGACACACCCACACTACCACCTAACTATTCCCGTATGCGTACCTATACTTTTTGTCAATATAGTTTGTTTTATGTATATGTATTGTTATGTCCAAGACAAGATCTCAATTTTTTATGTAAGTGATTAAATATGTATATGTACTTGGAAATAGAATCTCGGGAAAAATACTGAATATGCGAATTACTAGAACATAACAGAAAGTTGTATCTGATGAAGTAAGATTTATTATGGAGAAGTATGTTGAAATATGATACGCTTATGACAGATGATAATGCAAGATAAGAGGGACGCCTCGAAGATGAATAACAACAATAGTTGCAAATCAGCTGTCAAGCCATGGTGTATGAATAAGTATAAAGATGTTATTTTGTTATTGTCACGTAGTAAATGTGATGCGTGAAGAGAGAGAGATATAATGACGTGAAGGCACTCGAAAGTGCAAATTGATGTATTCGTTTCAAAGTGAAGACGATAGATGTATGAAATAATATGTTTTTCTCGCGATATGAAGAGAAATAGGGACAAAGCAAATTGTCAGATTAGAAGAAATAATGGCAGATACGAAGTTAATGATATTCAGGATGTACGAGATGAAGTTTCCACCAAATACCTAGATATTCATCATATGTAATTCAATGCTCGTCGTTAGGTATTAGCCAGGAGTGTAGTTGTTTTATGATAAATATCATACAGGAAGATTTGTTTTTTTCGGTGACAAACCATTTATATTATTAGAAAACAAAAAAAAATTAGTAACATTGAGATAACATAGGAATGAGAATTAATTGAATAAATGAAACATTGAAATGAAAATCAAAGATACGGGTGTGTCATTCCTATTTCAAATCGAGGAAGAATCAATTTCCTACAATTCAAGGAGAAATTTAAGATAAAACAAACAATTCCATATATCTATAGTAGAAAAGAGATTCTTGGAAAAGTGATAGCAGTATATAGGTACATCTTTTTTATGAACTAACTTAGGTAGTTTTGTTTTTAGAGATCGCTAATCGATAAAGTTATATCACCAATATTCAATTATTTTATAACTAGTTAGGTAGTTTTATATGTATTCTTTTGTATGAACTTACTGCCGATATTTTTTCTCTCTTGTTACATGTGAAACGAAGAACTACACTTGATGGCACCACTCAGATGCAGCCCAAGAAGTCGACCTGAACCACAAACAGTCATAGGCCCATATACCACGTCAAAGGTGTTTTGGTCCATGAGAAGTTCCATCGTTCCTGGAGTCATCTAGTAGATGAAATTCCAATGGTAGAGAGCCCTGGAAAATTGGAAAATGCAGTTATCACGGAATGAATAAGCCGAGTCGATATATCGCAACTATAGGATGCATGCCCCAAGCAACTTACTTTGTATCCCGCCTGATGTGCCTCGAAATGGTAGATACGCTGCCCCGTGAAGAGCTGCCCAATTCGCATGACGATATGCTTTTCCGACGCTACAGGAGCCCAAAAGGCAGCCAAAATCCACGAAACCTAGACGAAATTTCCACGAGGTTGAGATGGAAAGGTGCAGAATAGACAAAACTTACCAGAGCCCCGACTACAGGAAGTCAATACAGTAACCAAAGTAATGTCTATATTCCCAAGCAATTAAGTTCGCACTACCACTCACTATACGAAAATCACGCCGATTATAAGTGTAGATAGTACCGAACTACCGAAATCATTGCGAAAACGAAGCACTAGTAGCAATGGACGACAAACTACTTATTCAGCAATTTCCGTTATCTGCATATAAAGAGACATAGATACTCTCCTAAATCTCTTCTCGATTTTTCTCCAGAGCCGATAGAGCGCAGCATCCAAAGAACGCAGCAATTGCAGTCTATAAGCTGAACCGTACACTGCCATAGAAAACGTCTCATCAGAGAGCTAGTGTCCCCTCTCAGGCGAGATTGGACGCCGTCAGACCTTCTCACAGATCTCACGTGCATCAATCCTACCATGTTATGATCTCAATGTTATGGATGTATCAAGTTACGAGTGAAACAAAACATCGCTGACCTACATTACTAACATATAGAAAATGGAACCGCAACCTCAGATGACTGGAAGGACAGAGTTCAGTGTCAACAAACAATTAAAGTGTAGTGCCGGACCAAGTGATTTTCAGTGTGGTCCTCTTCGAAACTCTCACATACGCGAAGAAAATAGACTTATCTAATGGACAGTTATCATAAGTTCTTATCATTTATACATTTCCTCTTTTAACTAACGATTTTTTTTATAAAATGTTTTTATTTATCATTGATGTAGGTATGATTTTTACACAATTTTATATTTTTTATTTCATTCGATCACTTATGTACTTCATTTGATTGACTCATTATTCGATTTGAATATTGTATTATTGTTTTGTATCATGTATATAGGTAGTTATAGACACTTGAAGCTGTGGGGCCAGCTTCGTCAAACAGGGGAGATGTGTCAAGAAGTACAAATGTATGAAATAACTTTCGTTCATTTCTAGATCTTTATTCCTAAATTAACTTTTCCAAATTAGAACATCTTGTACAACGTTTCGATCAGGTCAAAGCGGAGTTCGTAGACTCTAGTTCCGGTAAAATTTGCACGAAACCGCTTAGCTTGCTATGCGGGCTAAACTATACGCCCGGTATCGAGCATTGCCATTGCGGAAAATTGCAATGTTAGCATCGATTCCAAATATAAATAGATTCCGAATCGATAAGCCATTCATTACTATTCATTACTGATTTTTGATTATTATTGATCACTCATTCCTGATTACATTACTATTTGATTATTACTAAGTAAAATGCATTTCGATAACACTTTACTTTATTCCGTAATTGAGTTACTAATTCACGAGTTGCTGCCAAAAAGTGTACCGTCCTCCCGACTTTGATCCTGCTGGTCAACCCCATGTTAGATGTCATAATGTAAGTACTGTTTTTTTTCCCAATGTTGTTTTGCGTTGATCTTTTTTTCCTTTTTGTTAACCTGCCATGTGGCAGCATCTATTCATAAAACTTTTCATTCAATTAATAAATGTTACTTTTCTATGAAAACTGTCCGGTCTCTTTATTTGGGGGTGAATAGGGTTGGGTGGTGAAATGATCAAAATCCTCTCATCAAGCCAAGCGAGTAGCCAAGTTACGTTCCATAGGAGGGCAACATCTGAGTTGCGACATGTGGTGGACACGCCGTTTGCCAAATAATCTACCAAAACCATCTGAGTTGCGACAATATACCTACTGATGAGTTCCTTTTTTCCACCCTGTATACTGATCGAATGCGGGTATGATTATTGCATAACAAAAGCAGCCTATGTATACCTCTAAGAGGTAACCGTCCAGGAATAAACATAAATGTGGAATAAGGGGTGTGCCACTAACAAGATACAGTTCTCAAGCACAAAGGTATTTGTTGTTTGTTGTTTTGGCCTCGTTTTGTCTTCCGGATAATATGCAAATATGTTTAAATATGAGGTGCTCCCTGTATCAACCCAAACAGTTCGAATTACATTTAAAAATAAACAAGGTCCCCTTTTGGCTTTGAAAACAATGAGTTGATGGTAATGTCGACCTGCATTCATTTAAACAACTCTGAACGTTTTCAACCTTCAACCCAGAATTAAAAAAATTCCACGAAAAAGGGCGCCAAATTTATTACGTCACCTTGTTACTTTTCTGAACAAGGGGGTAATAAAGACTGGTTTTCCCCACGAACTTTATACTTTCTTCGTGACACAAAGAGATTATGCTCATCGGAGAGGGATTGTGAGTAAAAAAAAAGACCAACTATAGCTTTAGCTCAATATTATAATATTCCCATGGGGGTTTAATACAGGCTTATATTACTTCTCTGAAAATATATTCCTTCAGCAGTATAATTACCCAATAGTAGTGTGGAATGTAGTGACAAAGCAGATAATGGTTCAGTCCATGATTAAGTAGGTATACGTCTACGGACGAGAAAGATATTCAATTTCAACCCCCTTCAGGTATATATACCGCAGGTTCACAGAATCTAATATCTACCTACTATTGTTACTATGCAGTGCGTTAAGGTAGTTTACATAGGTTGAGAGTATGATTAAGGAACAATATACAGCTAAGCCTGTTCACTAAATGAATCCAGGTGGTTTTATATATTAATAGCCAAAAGCGAAGCACCAGCCAAAGCTTTCAAATTAGGATTGGAAAGGTCTTACTTGAGAAGGTTTAAAGCAGACAGCTTGTACAGGGTTCCTTCCTTGATCTCATCTCTCACTGTGGAGGTCCCTGGGGGAGGAGTGGTGGTAGGCAATTCTGCGTGCCTTAAAGTGTCTATGTAGGGTTCGAACAGCATGTATATAAGCAGGAAATAGGAGGCCTAAAATACCAAGCAGTCTAAGATGCAAGCTTATAGGTAAAGGAAGAGTTTTAGCGAGTGGAGAGAGTAGCTGTAGGCTTTGTACATAATCAAGGCTGTAGGGAAAGGTATGATAAAAATCCTACGTAAGTAATCCTACCTTTGGTGTAAGGTGGCCTCGTGTGATGGCAAATTGGTTTCTGTGGTTGGAAAATTGATCCACCAATTGGTGATTACCTGATAATTCGTCAACGTAATGATATAATTATAGGAAGTTGATCCCAACCAGATTCCTTTTTTTGTTACTTGGAAATCCGCACAAATTGCGAAAAATATCAGGAGCTCCTGCTTCTGATAAGGTTACGTCAAAAGTAAGGTTGAACCTCAAACACCGAGATTAGAGAGAGCACACACTACCCTTTCGGCGGGTACTTGCCTCAGTGTCAAAATCGGTTGAGGTGGGCTCTCACAGTCAGAACGTTACGGTCGTTCCCCCATCTCAATCGTTGATCGACTGGTAGTTGTGACGACGAATAGTGGCCCGTAAGAGCACAAGATAAAATATACAACATTGCCTTGGACATTCGAGGCTTATAGCCATGATCCAATATAAAAGGAGACTCGCATACGACCTGAGACAAAGAAGAAGAATGACACTGATTAATAAGCATATTTGGTTAGGTGTAAGGTAAATAGATACTGACAAGATGAAAATAGAGATGAGACGAGAGAGACTCAAACTGCAGACTGTATTTGTTGATCTTGATGATGGATGACTTATTTCAGGTGAATTATATTGATTATAACGATGGGGGTATCAAGCTATCGATTTAGGTGATTTAGGCAGAGGCGTCCGACCAGCCATAAGTAAGTAAGCAAGAAAGTCTGTTGTGAATACTTGGCTGTTATTATATTCTCCTCGATTTCGGATTGGCACTTTAGTGAAGGAGATTCGGAAAAGATTCTTCAATGCAAAATAAAACTAGTTCACTCTAATCATTGACCGCAATGAAGCTGACCCAAATTTACCTTTGCACATGAGATGACAAAGCCATGTCCGTACTGTAATTATATGCTGTATCCGTGGATTTTGTATCGTTTCGATAAACCCGTAACAAATGTTGCAGGAAATCTTCGTTTCTTGATGCTGTGCTGAAAGCAATAGAGCGAACAGAGTCTGTCTAATACTTGAGTTTAGAAGATCGTGAAACATCAATGGAGTGTCAAAAGTGCCATCAGACTCAAAACAAATTCTTCAGAATTTTAGAAAATTAATAATACCAAGTTAAGATGTAGTGGCCATACCCAGCAAACAATTATGTAAAATTGACATAAGTGTTACATAACTGACGATACGTATTATGTCACTATGTTATGTAAGACTTACCTCACTGTTATGGCAAAATGTCCGCCACAAATACTACATGATTATTACGTAACAATTATGTCACTATTCTATACAGGGTGTCCCTAGACCAGTGGGACAGTTGAATATCTCCTGAACCAATAGGAATTTTCAAAATATTATGATTCCACATCATATCGCATTATGAGTGCTAACTTCAGGAATGACTATATTTTATACGAGGGGCGCAAGAAAGGCTCACAAAATCGAACATCAATTTTTTCAAATGGAACACCCTCTATTTCATTGCATCTTTATATTCTCCTTGATGAGCTGAGTTCCACGACCTAGCACACTTGGGGTCTAGAGGGAATGATTTCCGAGATATAGGGCGTGGAAAATCGAGATTTTTCATTTCTGGGAATTTTTTGTGTCGAAACTATTCATTATTGGTCAAAACGAAATACATGTCCAGATCTTGACTCTTGATTTACTATTCACTCGTATTTAATTGAAACAAATACAGGGTGGTGTAGAATCCTCAGTTTCAGTCAGAATTCTACACCACCCTGTATTTGTTTCAATTAAATACGAGTAAATAGTAAATCAAAAGTTAATATCTGGACATGTAATCCGTTTTGACCAATAATGAATAGTTTTGACACAAAAAATTCCCCAAAAATGAAAAATCTCGATTTTCCACACCCTATATCTCGGAAATCATTCCCGCTAGACCCCAAGTGTGCTAGGTCGTTGAATTCAGCTCATCAAGGAGAATATGAAAATGCAATGAAATACAGGGTGTTCCATTTGAAAAAATTGATGTTCGATCATGTGGGCCTTTCTTGCGTTCCTCGTATAAAATATAGTCATTCCTGAAGTTAGCACTCATAATGCGATATGATGTGAAATCATAATATTTTGAAAATTCCTATTGGTTCAGGAGATATTCAACTGTCCCACTGGTATAGAGACACACTGTATATATTTTATATCTGATACTTTATCTAAATCGTGCACAACCTCCAATAATAGTCTGAGTGATTCATTCATATTCATACCTGCTACTAAAGAAGAGGTTGAGGAAGTTATTGCTTACCTACCTAATAAAAAGTCCACTTGCTGACATCATAAATCTATCAGTGAATTCTGGCACTTTTCCTAGTGTCCTGAAATCCGCTGCCATCATTCCCATATTCAAAAAAGGCGATACCAGCAACATAGAGAACTATCGTCCAATTGCTCTCCTGAGCATATTTTCCAAAATAATTGAAAAGATCATTTGCAGGAGAATTACAGATTTCTTCACAAAGCATAAAATACTTACTGATTGCCAACATGGCTTCCGCCCTGGCCTATCTACCGAAACAGCCATAACGGAATTTGTTCAACACATAAATGACCTTATGGACAGAAATAAACACGTAATTGTTATATCGTTCGACCTAACGCGAGCATTCGATACGGTCAATATATAGTAATTTCGTCTCCGAAAAAATCAACTACCTAGGTCTTCGTGGCCCAGTGAATGATTGGATAACGTCCTTTCTTGAAGATAGGAAAATTACAGTGAGAATCGGTGAAATCAAATCGAAAGAATACGATTTAGATCTTGGAACACCACAGGGAAGTGTTCTAGGTCCGTTGATCTTCCTAACCTATGTCAATGACATGCCTCATTACATAAAACATGGTAGGGTCATCATGTATGCTGATGACACCTCTATTGTGGTATCTGATTCTGATCGCCAAAGACTACAGCAAAAAACCGACTCGGTTCTGAAATATTTCGCGGATTACTGCACTCAAAATACACTTATAATAAATCATAATAAAACAGTAGTAATCGAGTTCCATTCAAAACATAAAATATCTTCTAATTTTACCTTTGAAATTAATACTCATATCGTTCAAACCTCCACTTCATCTAAATTCTTAGGAACGATTATAGATCGTAACTTAATGTAATATCCCCTTTTTCTTGGGTATATAAATGAAACACTCGTTAACGTCGCACACACCTCGTACTCGATTCCACACCCGCCTTGCCTGTACTGACCGTCCGTCGTCGATCTCATTCGGCGTTGTGTAATCGCTTACTCAGTCATTTATTAATCATTCAATATACAGAGTCATACACTACATCTCTCCCTTTTTCTAGTATAACTATGTGTAATGTAAGTACATATAACAATAACTCTCGAAAAACCAATATAATTATTAAACTGATATTATCGGTAGAAAAACTATGTGCTAAGTATAGAATGTATAAATGCTAAGTAACAAGAACAATAACTAAGTAACAATAAATAAAATAGCAACATCTCGTTAATGAATATTATGTAAGTATCCATATTTTTCTGTAAAGTAAACTTCATTGTTTTTTTCCTTTTTCTGAGTCATCACATACTCTCCATTTTCCCTCTACTTTTTTTAAATGTACAACGTTTCTTCTATATTCCTGACTCGAATTGTCATCGCGGATAACAACGTCAGCACCCCTTTTATCGACAATTGTGTGTTTACTTGCATCAAATTCGGGTGTGATTTTATTTTCTTTCACCAATATCTTCTTGTAAACTTTATCACCTATGGTCAAATCTGTCTCCCCGGATTTCCTTTTCAAATCTCCATATTCTTTGCCAATTTGTTTCTGTAGTTGATCTTTGTCTCTCATTTGCTCATCCATAATACTGTTTTCTGCATCGACTGAACTGGGAATTTTGTCTCTGAATTGGCGTCTATAAAATAATTCACTTGGTGTTTTACCCGTCGTAGAGTGGGGAGTACTGTAATACATCATTAGATAATCTGTTAACTCCTGTCGCCAATTTTTCTTCAATGCATGACTGATTTTGAGTCTTTTCAAAATATCTCTATTTTATCTTTCAACCTCTCCGTTCATCTGAGGCCAGTATGGTATGGAGTAGTATATTTTTATACCATTTTCTTCAAAATATACTTTTATTTCATCACTGATGAATTGTTTCCCGTTGTCAGATGTGATAGTCATGGGGAATCCTAGTCTTGAGAATATTTCTTTCAGATTATTTATTGTACTTGTTGAGGTGATACTTCTCATTATTTTTATTTCTTTGTAACAGCTGAAATAGTCTACTACAACGAAGAGATAGTCACCTGTAGGCAAAGGACCCATGAAGTCCATTGCTACGTCAATCCATGGCCCTGTTGGTAGTTCTCTCCGCTTCATTTGGTGTGAAGTTGTGGGTGCTGACACCAACGTACACCCTTTGCAAGATTTCACGATCTTCTCAGCTTGTTCATCTATCTTTGGCCACCAAACTTTTGTTCGAAGCCTGCCCTTAATAGCTACTATTCCTGGATGGCCTTCATGAGCGGCGTCTAGAACACGCTGCCTCAAGTCACTAGGAATCACAATTCTTGTTCCTCTCAAGACAATATCTCCACATAAACAGAATTCTTCCTGGAATATTTGGCACCTCTTGATGGAGTTGGACCAGTTATTGTTTAGTATGCCTTCTTCGAGTTCCAAAATCTCCTTATCTGTTTGTGATGATTGCTGTATTTCTCTCATTGTTACTGCAACGGGACGAGCAAATTCAGTTATTTGGTATATCTGATCGTGTTTTTCGAACGGAGGTGGAGCACAATCATTATTCACGCATAACCGTGATATTGGATCAGCAATATTCGTCTTCCCCGGTCGATAAACGATTTTGTATCTGAAAGATTGTAATCGTGATACCCATCTCTCAATTCTTGCGCATGGGCGAGACCTGGGTGCAAAAATAACCTCTAATGGCTTGTGGTCGGTTACCAACTCAAAATGGTCTTTTCCGTATAGATATATACTAAAATGTTCCACCGCCCAGATTAAAGCAAGAGCTTCCTTTTCGGTCTGACAGTACCTCTTTTCGCAATCTGTGAGACTCTTGTTGCCATAAGAAATTATCCTAGGTCCATTATTATCGAACTGGATCAAGACTGCTCCAAGATCCACTGGACTGGCGTCTGCTATAACTTGGGTCCTATCGTTAGGATCATAGTACCCCAAAGTGTTAATGGCTGTCAGACTATCTTTGAGCTTTTTAAATGCATCATCGTGTTCTGATTCCCAATGCTTGGTAATTATTACATTCTTACCTAATTTCATTCGTAATAACTTCCTCAATGGGTCGGTTAGAGTGGCTAGATTAGGTATCCATTTACCAACAAAATTTACTAAACCTAGGAAACTATGTACTTCCTCAACAGTTCTTGGTGATCTGAAAGATATTATTACGTTCACATAATTAGCTAATGGTCTGACTCCGTTCGGGGACAAGTTATGTCCAAGGAATTTGATTTCGGAAATCTCAAAAGTACATTTGTCATGATTCAAAAGTACATTATTTTCTCGCAAAACGTTCATAGTAATTTGAACCCTTTTATCGTGTTCTTCTTCATTTGTTCCATAAATAAGTATGTCGTCAATGAAGTTTACTGTACCTTGACAGGGTGATAGCATCCTCTCCATAATTTTGTGAAATATTTCAGGAGCCGATGTTATACCAAACATTAGTCTTTTATACCTGAACAGACCTTTGCTGCTAATGAAAGTGGTGATGTATCGAGAACTTGGAGAAATTTCAATCTGGTGAAATGCGTTCCTGATATCTAGTCTAGAAAAAAAATTGGCTCTTCTGAAATTTGGCAAAAGAGCGTCCATAGTTGGTAAAGGATAATTTTCTCTGAGGATAGCTGCATTTGCTTTCCGCATGTCGATGCATATTCTCACATCACCATTTTCCTTAAGCACAGGGACTATCGGGGATACCCATTCAGATGGACCATTTACTTCTTCTATTATGTCAGCTTCCATGAGCTCTTCCAGTTTCTTGTTAATTTTATGTTCCACGGGAATGGGTATTCTCCGATTCGGTTGATTTACAGGTGCAACTGATTTATCTATAGAAATACGAAGAAGAATATTTTTGAATTTAGGGAATGGACCAGTGCTCAAGTTGTTTATATCTAAACCTATTTTGAGAACGCCTAAAGAAATTGCGGTTTGTTTTCCTAACAAATTCCTCCTTCCATTTTTCATGACATAAAAAGTAGCCAACTCCTGTTTGGCTCCAATCTCAATATTTGTTTCAAATGAACCCAAAATTTCTAATGGTTTTGTTGACCCATAACCCAAGAGGACTTTATTAGGATTTTTTGTTTGTTTCTGCACTTTTATTCCGCATTTCTTCAGAGATTCCCAAGTATTTACATCTAGAATATTTGATTTACTACCAGAGTCTATTAACATTTTGATCGTAATTCCTCCTACCTTACAGTCAACCATCTCGTCATCATCAATGTGGAAGACATATTCAGCTTCTTCTGGGCTCTCAACATAGTCCAGTTCTTCACGATCTGGTCGCTTTTGCTTGAATTTCTTTGCTGGAGGTCCCTGTTGCATTTTGTTCTTCTTATTAGATCGACAACATTTTTCGTAATGGCCTCTGAAAAAACATTTACTGCATATTGCCTTTGAAGCTGGACAATCATGTTGTTTTCCTTTTTCCATTGTACCTCCACATCTTGTACAATTACTTGGTGCAGGGTAGTTTCTCTTATGGCGAATATGGTTCACATTGATTGTTGAACTGCTACTTCCTGGCTTCTCCATAAACTCGGATATTTGTCTGTCAACTGTTTCTGAGGAATTTGCTTCTGCTATTATTTTTTCCAAAGTAATGGAATCTCCTGTAGCTAATATTTTTTTTTCTTGAGGTCAACCGATTGCCATTTTTCTATAATTTGGTCAACTAGCTGCTCTTCCAAATTTATGAATTGACATTTTCCTGCTTGATGTCTCAATCTTAGTAAAAATTTCTCAAACTTTTCCCCTACTTCTTGTTTCAAAAGTCGGAATTGATGTCTTTCATAAATCTTGCTTTGTTTCGGGGAAAAATAATCATCCAACTTCCTGATAGCGATGATATAAGCATTATTTTCTTCTTCACCATCTATTACATTCGCATCAGGCAAGTTGAAGAAAATTTCTTGGAGTCCTAATCCTCCAGAATGCAGAAGGTTTGCTCTCATTTAGCTTGGTTCCGTGATGGTAGCAGCTTCTAGGTATATTTGGAGATCCCGTTTCCATTTCTGCCATCGTGATCCTACAGAACTTATGTCTCCGTCACAGTCAAAAGATTCCAGTGAAGGTATGTTTGACATCGTGCCTGAAAAATGGACATGATTTTAGCTGTGCTATCATTTATATGGTGTTGAACACCCGTCATTCCATCAGGTGTTTGACACCTTCGAATTTGTCAGGTGTTTGACCCCTTCGACTTCGTCAGGTGTTTGACACCTTCCAGTTTGTCAGGTGTTTAACACCTTTCAGTTAGTCAGGTGTTTGACACCTTTCAATTTGTCAGGTGTTTGACACCTTTCAATTTGTCAGGTGTTTGACACCTTCCAGTTCGTCAGGTGTTTGACACCTTCGAGTTTGTCAGGTGTTTGACACCTTTCAGTTAGTCAGGTGTTTGACACCTTTCAATTTGTCAGGTGTTTGACACCTTCCAGTTCGTCAGGTGTTTGACACCTTCGAGTTTGTCAGGTGTTTGACACCTTTCAGTTAGTCAGGTGTTTGACACCTTTTAATTTGTCAGGTGTTTGACACCTTCCAGTTCGTCAGGTGTTTGACACCTTCGAATTTGTCAGGTGTTTGACACCTTCCAGTTTGTCAGGTGTTTGACACCTTTCAATTCGTCAGGTGTTTGACACCTAATTGCCCCCACATTTAAAGTAATATAATATACTTCTACTTATTTTATTGAAAAAAAAAACATACACTGAGTGAGTTGACTTTATCAAACGACTATATCCTTTCTCGGACCTTCAAGTTTACATATATCTGAGACTCGACAGTTCATACGACATTAAAAAGTTCCCACATCATGAAATCTGCTGCATTCACAGTCTTCTAATGACCTCAGAATCTCGGATATATAATAAACATAATATCGGACCGTCTCTTGATTTTATGGATTCTCGGGATAACATCCCTTCTTTTCCACTTACTTGATGTACTTTATCCTCGTTGCCAATTGTAATATCCCCTCTTTCTTGGGTATACAGGCTGATTTTAAAATAAGTGCATATATTTTAAACACTAAGAAAGCTTGAGGTATACTACCGAATAGCACTATTAAAAATATTATTAGGATCGAAATAGATTTGGGGCAAAATACCCTTTTTCCGCCCAGATTTCTACTTCTGTCACAACTATCGTTTGCGATCCGTAGTCGACCGTGATGAACGAAGCGACGTTGCCACTCTACATGAAAATTAGGAGATATTAAATAAAATGTATAATCGAGAAAATGTACATGGGGAAGAAGTTAACCCTGGTCTTGAATTTCAGAAAGATAATACAAAAACTTCAAAATGGACTCACCCAAGATTTTTACACATAAGCTCGAATAGCGTATCACTTAACAACTCACGGTTGGAAGTTATTTTACTGAAAAATCCTTTAGACCCTTCCTTCCACCTCCTTGCATCGCTACAATTTCGTGGTCTTCGAGGAGTCTCATGGGCCCCGCACAATAACGACCCGACATAAGAACCATATCATTCAGCTCAATGTTTGAGAAATGCATCGTCACATTCCAAGCAAATTGTCAGAAACAAAACTTTACATTCAGTGTTGTTCCTGGGTCTGATTTTTTCGTAATAGATTTTCTTGGAAAATGGTAACAGATTTGTATCAAAAGGTAATAGATCCTAAAAATCTGACATTTGACATTCTGAATGTCATTCTTGTAAAACATATCGCACAAATTAGACAGTTTTGGCAGGAATGAGGCAGGTCACACAGAACTTATGACATAATTATCCGCTGAACACAGAAATAGATTTTTTAGTAACAAAACATCATATTTTGGTGCTAACACCCAATAGTAATAGATTCATGACAAATCGTAATATTGTAACAATCTCCGTGGAATAGTAATAGATCTATTACAAAAGTAATGACAAGGACCACACTGTTTACATTTACTAGTATCACGTTTTGACGTTCTCCAAAATAACATACATTCTCAGAACAACAAACTGTCAAGAAAGGATCTTTGTTTTGATTGTTCTTATGGTGTGCTAGCAGCAAGAATTCAGATGACCTTGAATTACTAATAGGCGACTTTTACGGACCAATCAGAAACAGCAAAGTAGTGCCTGCGTGGTTGCGATTCATCCTGATTGGGCACAGGTGATTGAGATTAATGTATTAGTGAGGAAGGATCATATCTTTAAATGAAACTACCATTTTCATAAAAAACTAATTTGGAAAAAACATCTATTAGTTTAATTCAATGAAATGATACTTCCTCACTATACACTATAATCTCACAAGTCCAATCAGCTGTGTCCAATCAGGATGAATCGCAACCACGCAGGCGCTACTTTGCTATTTCTGATTGGTCCGTAGAAATCGCCTATTAGTAATTCATGATCATCTGAATTCTTGCGTCCGAAACGGTCAGAAGCATGCGCAGTTTCACAGAACTGTATGATTTTTTTGGGTTCTGTGGACTTGTGCATGCTTCTGACGGTTTCGGATTGTTTATTTTCTGAACGCGAACAATCCTAGTTAGTACTGTCAAAGGTCACAGCAAAGAGGAAATCTATGGTCACAGATACTACTGTTCTGAGAAATGATGTTGACAGATCATATGATACTAAAAAAATAATTGTATACGTAAAATAAAAAATAAAATAATTGGATGTTGTGTCTTGTGTCATGATAATCGTGATATGGTCGTGGTCGTGATTTCGTGGATGTGGGATTGCCAGGAAGGATATGTCGTCGTCGAGTCGTTTTCGATGGTTTAAGTGCGAATATGAACCAACAAGAACACAGGACGATATTAGTCTGGAATGGACTCGATATTAGTATTTGTTTGCTCTCGGGAGTTTTGCTGTTCGAGCAGGTATGAGAAAATCTACTAGGTGAGTCGATTTTCAACTTTGTGTATGTTGTGTACCTATTTATTGTCTGCTAATTTTGTATCTACCCGCTGATGGGGCCTTATTTTCGAATTGAAGGAAGGGGGACGTTCTATCATTCCCCTCATGTTTCTCTCCGTCTCTCGTTATCCATGGAGATAATCACCCCACAGTTCTCTCAGTAAACTTTAAAAAATAAGGCTCCTGTACATATAACATTCACCTCTATTAGTTTCCATAACCTATTTCAATTCATGTTCATTCTGTGACAAATTTTTATTAGGATATTCGTCTCTGAAACAATCTGGCATCACTGTCTTGTTTTGACTTTAATGAATGACGAATTGTGGATTCCCTAGGATTCCGCAGATTTTACTTGCTTCCCAGTGGCGTACTCGAATTTCGAAGCATTTTATGTTCAATTTTCAAAATGAAATTTCTCGTTAATGTGAAGACTTAGGAAAAATCAAATATTTTAGTAATTTTTGTTAGACTCTCTCATATATATGTCTTGAATATATGCACTCATTTTAAAATCAGCCTGTATAAATGAAACACTCGTTAACGTCGCACACACCTCGTACTCGATTCCACACCCGCCTTGCCTGTACTGACCGTCCGACGTCGATCTCATTCGGCGTTGTGTAATCGCTTACTCAGTCATTTATTAATCATTTAATATACAGATTCATACACTACACTTAACATGGGAGGAACAAATACGAATGGTTTTGCAAAAAAGTCAACAAAAGCTTTTACATTTTGGCAACACTGAGAAATGTTTTGAACACGGACTCATTACTGCAGGTCTACTATGCATTTGTTCATTCTACAATTTCATACAACATTGTAGTATGGGGTCAGATATAACAATAAGAATCTTCGTTGCTCAAAAACGAATCATAAGGCTCATTTTCAACATAAGTAGTCGCCAATCATGTAGACAGGTCTCCAAATCAAAACGGATCCTCACGGTAACGTCAATTTATTTGATGAAACTGTTAACCTACATTCACATTAACAAACATTCATTTCCCATTAATAGTGATTCACATTCTTACAACACTAGAAAGAAGAATGATATCAAACTAAATAAGCCTAAACACTCCTATTACAAAAAAATCTCCAATCAATACAGGCTGCCGTTTTTTCAACTGTCTGCCGAATGAAATAAAAAACGCGGTATCCCCGGCTGTTTTTAAATGTAGACTGAAGAAACTCCTAGTCAGAGAATGCTCCTATACTGTTGAGGAATTCGAATCCTACTTTTCAATTTTGAAATTATAATACTGAAGTATTTCTCAGTTTATGTTATTCATCACTGTAAATGTCTCGTCTTGTTATAGTATTTCGTTTCGTCATATCTTTCAATTAAAACTTGATACCACTGTCCATTTATGACATGTAATATTGACTTATCCTATCTATTGTTACTGATAGTTTAAAGGATTAATACATATTTTATTTTATTTATTTTTATTTATAATTTCATTGCTATAAATAAGATGTTACGTCTATGACAAACTAACATAAATATTACATAACATTCTCTTGATGTTATGTAAAATTTACACCCCTATTATGTAAAAATGTCAGCTACAAATTTGACCCCATTTTGATATAATATTGATGAAACTACTTGACTAATATCCGATATGAATATCACAATTTCACAAATAACCTCTTCACCTCACCAACTCACTTCACAGGGATATGCACATATGCCTCATCTCAGTAGGTGATCCAATATACACTCTATAATATCTATACTGATATTACTGATGATGATATATGGTTACAGAAATGTGCATAGGAGTTGGAAGTGAGCTAGTGTGGAAAAGGAGTTATTTGGCAAATTTTGATTGTGTGGGAGAAATGTAACAGAGACAGATTAGTCATAAAATGCTTGATGGTTTATTATCTCCTATCTCATTCAGTATTCACTTCAAATCTCCTCACATGGTACAAAAAAACTCTGCTCAAAAATTTTTAAGACTTTCTGTTCCAAATATTATGCATTATAGTACACAGAGTATAATAATTGATCAGTGAGTAATCAAATTATATCTTTCTTCTTCATCTCCCTATTCAACCCTCCATTCAACCTCTGGTGACTTAATCAGAACCACCCTCCTGCTGGTTTATCTATCAGAGTAAGATATTGAAATAAAAATATATATTACCAGATAATGATATTTTGATTGATTTCAGATCTCTCACTTCAATATTTCCTTTCTGCCCTTACCAGGAACATTGTGTGGCCCCTATATAGATAGTCTCTCCCATCTCTACCACCTTGAGTTTTGAAAAGATGTACCTACCTGGAAAAGTATACAGTTCATCTCATTGGGTTTCTCTATTAACTTATTTATCAAACAAAAAATAATAATCACTGACGAAATGTTCAGATTTCCATAACCAATAATATATCTCTAATCCAGAATGTGAGGCACTTTGGGGTTTCCATCAGCCATCATAATCACTGGCTGTTGTTCAATTTCATATGAGAATTGAAGTTTGACCAGATTTTACCTCGGATTCTATCGATACCTACCAGAGTCATCACTTCTAGATATTTAAGAGGTCCAGGGTAGATAAGTAACTATTTCTTACTCGTTGTTTTCACAGAGGTTAGGAAAATCTCAAGGCATGTTTTATTCTCACTTATCTTCACTTAAGGTGGATTCATGCAAGCATAAATTAAAACTAAAATGAATTTAAAACTAAAACTACAATCATGGAACCATGTAATGCAATGAAGGTGTTCATGCAAGAAACTAAGCAATTGAAATTAAAATTAAAACTAAGAAAGATGGCGAACACTGAACTAAGAAATTAATTTCTTCCATATAATTCGCGACAGCGCATACGTCAAATAACAACTAGTGGCGGGAAAAATATGGTAAAAGCATAAAAGACAGTTTAAAAGGTTATGTTGAGGTTATGTTTCAATGACCTAATTTTTTCATTCGCATATTTTATCATTCCTTTATTATTATTTCACGTTTATAAGTTTAAATTTCAAAAATTGCATCAGATAGCAGCAGAATGGATACAGACGGCCAACTAATCGAACTCGTGGAGCAATTTTCTTTCATATATGATAAGAAACACGTTGATTTTAAAAATAAATTGGTCAAAGAAAATGCCTGGCAATCGATTTCGGAGATTATGCTTGATACAGGTACAGTATACCTATAATTATATTTTATCGTTTTGGTAATCTATAAATAATACTAAAATAGCTGTGTGTACATAGATGACAATCAAATTATATTATATGTTTTCAGCTGAAAGTGTAGCTGCCAGGTGGACTATCTTGAGAAATCGGTATGCCACTGAAAAAAGAAGAGAAAGAAGTATACCTTCAGGATCAGGGGCATATAATACATGGCATCTTTTCAAAGAGATGCAATTCTTGGATGAATTTTATAACCCAAGAAGGTAATAATTTTGAATGTTTACTTCGCCAAAGAATCAATGTTTTTTTTTTCAAGGACTCTGGGCAATGTCTCTGCCACTGCTTGGTCGAATTCTGATGGACAATCCCAGCAGTTATCCCAGCAATCCTCACAGTTATCCCAACAATCCTCACAGTTATCCCAACAATCCTCACACCAATCAACCCAGCAATCCTCACTCTGGAATGACCAAATAATCATCGAAGATGATGCCATGGAAGCAGCAACAGCAGGCCCATCCACCAACACATCATGTACTGATGTACCTGTTTCAAGGAAAGCACTGGAGGAACACAATAGTAATATAAAAACCTTGAGAGGAAAAAGGAATAAATACAAAGCATTCGAAGAAACAGTAATAAAGGCATTTGATCAAATTGGTACTTACCTTCAAACACCTGAAGTGATGGAGGATGAGGATATGCTTTTCGCCAAGTCTGTTGGCAAGTCTTTACAGACCATAATCAACAAAAAGGACAAAGCATCAAGAGCCAAAATTGAGATTTTGGAAGTAATTGAAAAGTATTCAGACTGAATCTATATTTTTTAATGTTGAGTTTTTGTATTATGTTTTCTTAATGTTTTGTTTGTGGATATCCTTTCCTCTTTTATTTTTATTCTTTCTATAAATACATTTTGTTCATGTTTATTTTTTGAGAATATCTTATTTATTTTTGTATGAATGCATTTTTATTTGTTTTTTCAGAATTATTATATTGTTATTTGTTTTAGACATCATTTCTGTGATCGAATAAAAGACTGATATAGTTGAACATATTTGTTTTATTTCATTTAATATGATTCAAAATACGAATTAATAAAAATTGAATCACAGTGGGACTGAACCTTTCAATACATGATCTACTTGCCAGTTAAGGCTTCCAATGGGAGACATGAAATATGTTTTGAGGATATCTCTATTATCTCTGACATATCTTGCAGAGTTATTAGCCTCTAACCTGCCTACTGATTGTGAAGGATTTTGATCTAATCTCCATTGTCCCATAATGACTTCACCATTAGGTCCTTCTACATCCACATAGCCAGTGGGGCAATATTTTCTTTGATTATCTGGCAAATACTCTTCTTTACATTGCAAAAAATTATGTAATGCAACAGTTGCTTGGACAATCAGTTCAGCTGATTCAATGTCAGCAATAATAGGCCCTCTCAAAATTCTCCACCTCTGTACTAATATTCCGAATGTATTCTCTATAGTACGCCTAGCACGAGAAAGTCTGTAATTGAAAACTTTCTTTTCCACTGGCAGTCGTACTCCTGGATATGGCCTCATTATATTTTCATGAAGCGGAAATGCTTCATCAGCAACCAAAAAATGTGGCAAACTGGTTGATGTTTGTGGTAACACTTTTGGTTGAGGTATTGGAAGTTGTTTCCTCATTAAAGAGTTCCCAAAAGAGGACTCTTTGAATACTTGGCTATCATGAAGAGATCCTGAAGAGCCAATATCAACCATTGAAAATTTATAAAAGGCATCACATGTTGCCATAAGTATAAGGCTAAAATAATAACTAGTTTGATTATGATACAACTTGAATGTAAACTGCAGTGATTGCCTGAATGATTTCTTGTATGAGAAATATTCTGACCCGGTTTTGTATGGTGCCTGAATCAGACAATGTTTTCCATCCAAGGCACCAATACAATTTGGGAAATTCCATTTTTGGAAGAAACCTTCTGAAATTTTGTTGAAATCTTCTACAGTAGGTGAAGGCAAAAATATTGGTGACAACTGTTTCCATATTGCCTCACATGTTTCTCGTATTATGTAATGAGCAGTTGATTTTCCAATGAAATAATTTCTTGCTATCTCCCTCATTGACAAACCCTCAGCAAGATAGCTAAAAAATATCGATACAGAATTGAAATATCAGAATAATGAAAAATCAACTCACTGTAGTGTTAATGCCAAGCGCAGTTCTGGTTTTAGGGCATTTTTTCTACTGGGGCACTTCTTCAAATCATTGTACACCATGTTTAGAAGAAACTGAAATATTTTAGGCGTCATCCGGGTATGAGCAAAAAATTCGTCCTCATCGTTAGATTTCATATACTGAAAGAGCTTTTCAAATTGTCCATACTTCTTTCTCAGTTTCAAAATAGGTTTAACACCAAATCTCCTAAACCTCCTTTTTCTGATTACACAAGAGGCTCCCAATATAGCACTACTGCACTGAGTATTAATGCACGCTTTTTTCTCGAAGTTTTCATATTGACACTATTGATTCCAAATGTATAATCAAACAGGAGAGAATCTCTGATTCCAATAATAAATAAAATACAAAACTATTTTAGGTTAGGGTTGGAGTTCTGATTTCTGTTTTCTAACCATAGAACGAGTTACATATTGACTGAATATTGACAGCATATTGACAGTTATGACATATGATCGAACGGAATGCGCATGACTACTAGTTTATTGATTTCGTTAATTGATGCTGCATGAACACCAATATATTCTTAATTTAAAATTCATTTAAATCTTAAATTCATTTTGATTTAAGTTGATGTTGCATGAATCCACCTTTATTCTTATTAACACTTTTAGTTTAGTTCATTCCATCAAACACAGCAGGTGGAAACAAGAAAAACACTCGAAATAGTTATAAAATACCAAAAATACCTTCAGTGTAGTTTGTTTATGGTCTCCCAGACTTCATGCACTTATTATTATAAATCATAACCTCAAACTAGTCAACCAATGGGAATTGGGCATATGGGAAAGGGGAACGCTAGCGCAGAAAATTGGTGGAAACAAGAAAAACACTCGGAATAGTTAGAAAATACCGAAAATGCTTTCAGTCTCCAAGTCTTCACTTATTATAACCTCAAAGTGGTCACGGGGAAACGCTACAGCGCGAGAGCGAAATATAATAATCATCGCGGTGGGGAGAATGCTACAGCGCGAGACCACGGGTACTGATCATCCCAACGAATATCCTATATTGGCGCAGAACCAAGTCTGCAGAGAATTAACGGCCAAGAGTCCTAGTAAAGTCATGTAGCTATTATATAAGCTTTTATATTGATATCAAATTTTCACATATCATTTACATCATAGTTACGTTACATTTTTATATAATTATGGGGTTCACATATTTCAGAATTGTTATGGAATATTTACGTAAATATCCTATAAATTATGAATGATAGTCTAGGGTTGATTTTAATAAAACTATTTATTCAAACCAAGTAAACCATGCATGTGTTTCTCTGGGAGCGTGTTGAGTCTTCGAAGTATGGAATAACAATCTCTGTATCAGAAGTTCTTGAGAAAAATCTAGATAATAATCCTGCAGTTACAATTCTAAGAAAGTATCATATTCTTGCTGATGGCGTCACGTTCTTGATACCTAACTCTAGAAGAGGCGATGCAGGCTATGCAGTTGGATATATGGAAACATCTATATACTGGGTGATGAAATGTTGTAGGCTGGTACAGGATATAACTCCTCCCTCCTTGAGATTGAAAATTGTGATTGAAATGAACAATTTTCAACTGGACTAAATCCTTCTGTGGGATTTGGGTGATTCGGTTGTTGGATCATCTGGAATGGTGCGGCTGGTTCTTGGATCAATTGATAAACGTTCAGTGCTCACTTCGAATCTTGCATTGATAGATGGTCTTCTACGGGGGCTTGTGAAGTTGCACATATTGTATATTGTTGGACAGACATGATGTCCTGGAAAATCATCGTCTGCTCTGTTCAGGGATCGTCTGCGGATGCATCGGCGGCAACAGCATTTATACAGGAAAAATGCTACAATTATGGTGGTGATGACTATACATAGATACCATATTACACTGTGGTATCTTTGTGTGAACGGCTGATGTAGTGATTGTTCGATTTCTTCTTGAAATTGATTGAGCTTATGTCCAGCTACTTTGAGGTCGTCTAGATTCAAATTGTGAATCGAGATTGGCTTAAGATCTGGGATTTCCAGTTTTTCTGTGAAATGGATGCAGCAATCATATGGGATGATTGGAATGGAAACAGTCTGCGTTGAATTCGTGGAATATTCTTCGTCAGTGTATATTTGGGTATTATCGATGTAAGCATTACATTTTTTCGATGAATGTTTGAACTGGTGTGTCTGGACAGCTTATTGTGACATCTAGCGATTTTTCTGTGGTAATCAACCACTGATTGTTCTTGAGTTTTTGAATGTTGAAGCCGGATATATTGACTATCATGGAATGTCAGTTGGTAATTGTTAATCCTCGGAGAATGTGGACTTCGCATGGACTGCTGTCTGAGATTGCTTGTGGAATCTTGTCGTAGCATAACATCATATCGTGTTTGGCATGAAGGACTCCTCCACAAACTACCATCATACGGTGTATCGTCTGATACCATTGGCATCAATTCCGGCGTTCCACAAGGATCAATTTTGGCACCAACATTATTCCTGCTTCATATCAATGATCTGTTGGGAGTAACAACTTGCCCCATCCACAGCTTTGCAGATGATAGTACCCTCGCAGGCAGGTCAATGCTGTCAATGAAGATCTTGCTGAAATAACAGCCTGGGGAACGAACAACCTAGTTGAATTCAACGTCACCAAAACTCAAGCCTGCATTTTCTCTAAAAAGGCGGAACTCAGTATGCCCGATATTGTAATGTCTGGCTCCACCATCCCCACCAAGCCCACCATATCAATGCTCGGTATTTCCATCAGCAACACTCTTTCATGGGATAATCATGTCAGATCCATCGCAAAAGCTGCTTCACAAAAACTCGGATTCTTGTTTCGTGCTAAAAGATACTTTACACCTCAACAGCTTCTCATGATCTACAAAGCGCAGATACGGCCTGTTCTAGAATACTGTTCCCACATATGGGGTTCAGCACCAAAACATACGCTGATGCTCTTAGATTCCATCCAGAGAAGAGCCATTCGCCTGGTCGGTGACGCCACACTCACTCACTCTTTGACATCATTGGAACACCGTAGAAAGGTCGGCGACCTTTCACTTTTCTATCGATACTTTCACGGGAAATGTTCTTCGGAAATCTCTGCAATCATCCCTTCACTAGCAATACCAATCAGACGAACTAGACAAGTCCAGTCAGCACATCCTTTCGTTGTCAACCTCGAAAGATGTCGAACAGCACTTTATCAAGACTCCTTCATACATAGAACGGCTAGGCTCTGGAATTCATTGCCTGTGGAAGTATTCCCAACAACATATAATCTCCAAAAATTCAAAAAAAATTCCAATACCTACCTCCTGTCCCTATCCTCCCTAGGAACGCACGATGTTCTTTGAACATTATAGGGATTCCCTTTCGTGCGCTCCAATCGATAAAAAAAATCTGGTAATGTTCTGGTTCAGTCTTCTTGTGGATTATTTAATGCAACATATGATCTGTCATCTTCAGACATAGCAACGTATTTAGACTCAGGAAGGATCATATGGTAAAGGTTATTGTGATGTTTTGTAGGAAGTGGGTAATTATGATGCAGTTCAAATGTATTTGGTATGACGAGTGGTATTTCTAAAGCAAATA